TTATGTCTAATTAACTTAACAATTTTTCGTGTTTTTTTTTTCTTGTTGATTATGTCAGTTTTCATCTATGTTATCATATTTTGCTTCCGTAAGTTTATTTCTGTTACAAAACTGTCGCTGCAATTTTCCTATTTCTTTCTGCCTGCTAAGAAATGCATTTTTTCTTAAAATGAACAAATTAATGCGATGCTTTGTAGTTCAATTTTTCTATAAGCGAACTGATGATGACAGTCAAACGCTTTGGCATCCTTCCTTGATTACTACCAACAAATCTGCAAACTGGGAGCAAACTATTATGTCTAACCTTTTGTGTAAAAAAAACCAATGCTCTTTAAAGAAGTTCTTTTTTCTATTCAACACAAAAAAATGACGCAGCTTCTAAACGTCAAAAATGCAGTTTTAAAACCTGAAGTCGAATAAAGCGCGTTAGTTAATCAATTATATGCTGAACTTATCACATGATCTTCTGGTCTCAAAACATTCTTCGACTGTTTGCAACTTAAATGTAAAAGTACCGCAGTATTTAACTGAAAATGCGTCCCAAATGCTGTAATACACTCTAATAATTATTGACAGAACCATTGGTACATCAGATATGTCACACTTTCTACGAGCTATTTTTTCGGTACGATTTGTTCTCGCTACTGCAGAAGCTTTGATTTTTAATGATAACTAAACAGATAATTGTGATGTAGAAAACTGAACATTAACTAATTTTATAAACTTAATAGATACTTCTCAAAAGTTGAAACCGCCAGATGGGTCAATCCACAAACTTCTAAAAACACTTTAGCTAAACAAACTCAAATTTTATCTATGTTATTTTCTCCTGCTCGTAATTTTTATTCAAATAACAAGCAAATTAATTATTCTTTTGCTCAGTTTACTAAGATCTTCACAACTTTGACTGAAACGTTCGTTCTTACTCCAAAATACACTTTTTTGTCATTATCAAAACTAGAAAAACCAAACGTGGCTTTTAGGTAAAATATCATTGACAGGAAGTTTTCAAATATCTTGTTTTAAAATAAAAATCTATTTTGGAACAGCTCAGTAGTTTTATTTTTTAGGTGATTCTGTTTCTTAAATGGTTACAGCAAATGAGAAGCTAGTGATTTTGCAGTGAAGAAAAAAGTTCTAAGAGTCTAAAAGCGTATGTGACAAAAAAGTGGTACAACTTCCAGTGTTCTTCGCCTTTGAGGTGTCCGAGTTAAATTTACTGTAAGCAGTAGAAACCCTCGTGTAAGCTTTACCAGAGACAATCGCAGTTTATTTAACAGAAGTTTCACTATCTGACCTGAATATCAATACACTTTTGCAAGTAACATCGCCGTCATTTCCAAAAACTGACACCGTATTTAGAAAGCTAAACTGACTTTCAAAACCTGATTAATGCAACAGCACTAGAAAAGAGAGCAGAATGTTGAGGAAAA